GCAGGAGGGGCTGGAGGCTGAGGAGCTGCTGGGGGGGCCAGGCCAGGGGAATAGGAGCCGGGAGCCCCGGGGTTCCTGCCTCCACTGAGCGACACCTGGGGCCTTCCCCAAACCATCCACATCTCAGCTGGGCCGGCCCAGGGCTCCCTGGCCTGCACCACGCTCTGTGCCCCCGGCTGCTCATCTCCTAGCCACGGCAGAGACGATGGGACGATGGGGAGCCCTGCTCTCTGCCCTGCAGTGGGCGGGTGGGAAGCTAAGGAGCTAGGCCAGGGGTCACCACGCGGGAGCGGGAGCGGGATCGACCGGTGAATCTTGGAGCCCCTGACCGGGGATCCTGACTGGCTTGGCCAAGAGGCTGTCAAGTGCCAGGTCTTCAGCTGCCCCCTCTCCCGCCCTGTATCCTAGCTCCACAGAAGGGCGTGGGGGGCACAGCAGGGTTGGGATGGAGGGAGTTTGGTGCAGGGCCAGGTGAGTCTGCCTTAGCCCCACTGCACCACCTGCGGTAAGCAGTGTCCAGCTGGAGCCTGAATCCGTCTGTCATGTACCCCCCTGCACCCCTAGCCCTGAGCCCCCCTAGACCCAGGCTCCTTTACAGAGCCTGTACCCTGAACCCCCTCCAGCACCCCTAGCCCTGAGCCCCCCTAGACCCAGGCTCCTTTACAGAGCCTGTACCCTGAACCCCCTCCAGCACCCCAAGCCCTGAGCCCCCCTAGACCCAGGCTCCTTTACAGAGCCTGTACCCTGAACCCCCTCCAGCACCCCAAGCCCTGCCCCAGGCTCAGCTCAGAGCCCCCCATCCCTCAGCCCAAGACAGAGCCTGCGCCCCAGCCCTCTGCCCCTGCCTGGTGAAAGGGAGGGAGGACGGAGGGAGGGGGCCCTCGGAGAAGGGGCACAAAGGAGGTGGGACAAAGCTGGACCCTGGATTGCACTTCAGTCCAACCAGTGATTTTGTGCTTTAAAAGGTTGGAGCCCCTGGGGCTGAGTGACACCAGTCCCTGCAGCGCCCAGCCCCTGCCCCAGCCTGGCCGCTCGGGGCCAAGGGGCACTGCCTCCA